AGAATTCACCGCTTCCAAACTTCAATCGCTGGCTAGCTCCTGCCAGCAGACCTAAAAATATGATGGAAGATCGATGGTGGGGCGCTCTTACGCACTACAGAAAGTAATTCATCTGTGGCTATACTACCAGAAGGTCAAATCTTTCCAACGTTCATCGTTGATCGACTTCCAGATCGAACGAACCATTTCTCTCGCCCGAGAATGCATGTTTAAATTAGGGCACTCAATCCTCTTACGCTGTACGAACACACACACACACACACACACACACACGACAGTTTTGACATCAGTCTGGGAATTTACGGTAGAACGTTTTATAATTTCTTCATGCTCAATATCCATATCATACTATGTTCATACATTAATACATTTACGATTTCTCATCACCAACATCACATTATTCTTCTCTTTGCTTTGTTCTATGCTTCTCCATGGCCACCTCCCGGTTCATTGTTACAAAGATAAAGTGCAATTGTAATTGCCCACAATTGAGCCTTGGCTCATGTAAGTTCGAAATACTTCTCTCATTTTTGAACACAATGCGTATTAATTTTTCCTGGATCTCGGGGACGAATATTTGGATTTTCAAATCAAGTGTAATTAATGGGAGATTTTGCATCGTGTCTTCTGGGTGGACTCAAAAACTGAACATACAAGAAACTTTAGAAACATAAGAATGGTGTGCTTACATCTATAGACGCTATACGTATGCTCGTTCTATGAATGTCCTCCCATACTAGGGAACCAGGCAGAGGCCTAGTGAACAGGTTCCTCCAAAAACTCAAGTTACGGTGTCGTACACGGTCTTCAAATCCACAGCTGGAGCATTTTAAAGCATTTGTAATAAATTTCAAACTTATTAAGGTTTCTACATGGATGAGAATAGCAAAAAATATGAATTTATGAAGTTATTCTTCCTTTGTCGGTCTTAGTGAATCGTCTGATCACCATTAACAGCTACAGAAGGTAGAGGTGAGCTGTTCATCCACACTCGACTATGCTCATATATATACTCACACGGACAAGTCTAAAGATCAGTTTCGTAGAAGAAGGCGTCCGGCGGAAACAGATGCTCAGCCGCGTGGAAGTAAAACTCTGCTTGTAAATATTTAAGAAAATCACATCAAGTCCCTCGAATTCGTACTAGAAGTGTGGATAAACTTTTTGAATACAATGCACGCACATCTTGCGAACAATAAATGAGACAGATAATACAATTTAGTGACATGAAGCAGAGATCGGTTAATGCATTTAAACTTCTTCACTTTTACAAACGAACATTCAGTAATTAATTATTTAACTTTGAACACCTTACATAAATCTAGAGGCGTCACATCATTATTATCGTCACATCATTAGAAAACTTACTGTAATTTGAAGTCAAACCAACTTTAGAGACAGCATCATCAATGGACGAGCGTCAATTTCGTGATTGGTTATGATGCTTACTCATTGCAAGCTTAATTATATACCAGTGAACAATGTTTCAGTCTTCAAAAGTATGTTAATTTGAGTTTCTATACGAACTTGAGCTCAAGCAAGACAGCAGGATACGTGATGACATTTTAGGTAGAATAACCCGACTCCTACTACATACTTGCTCCTTTCGACTTCTGTGAACGCGTGAAAAACACTTCGCATGTTCGTCCACGCGTGACCTTCTCGACAGGGATATTTCTCGCATTTTTTTATGCGTCATTAACTCTGAGACGAACACCGTAGGCGAGATGCTTGAAAATAATAGCGCAAATTCATCAGCCAATTAACCTGTAATTGTGTTATGGACTGATAATTGCAGGCGTGGGACCGTAATTTGCGATCATGGAATATCTTATAATTATTGTCAAGAGTTTAAATTTTTCGAGTTTTATAAAAAGTTTCAATTTGTTTAGGATTAAGTATAGGTTCTTGTGTTCGTTTAGGCAGATAATAGTTATTTGGTGATGCGTTAGTATAGGTAGATAATGGCATTTCAGTGATAAGTTTGTTTAGGAAATTGTACATCAGTGGTGCATTCGTATTGATAATGGTAATTCGCTGATACCTTATTATAGGCATTGGTAATTCAGTGATGCTTTCTGGTTCTTTTGGCAGCGGTAATTCAATGACACTTTCACTTTGGTAATGGTAATTCAGTGATTAGTTTGTGATACGTTCAGTGATTTGATGACGTGTTTGTTCGGGCAATATTAGACAAGTGTGTTACCAGTGGCAATATCATACAAGACGATGTTCAGGGCGTAATTCGTGGCGAAAGTTTTCGTCTGCGAATATACATAGATTGAAACGAGAAAAAATCTGAGCAACCGAGTCAGCGCAGGTCGACGAGAATGACTTCAAATTGAATTTGTTTTATTTAATTTATTTCCGGTTTAAAAGCAATCAATGTTTTTTTAAGGGCAGTTTGGTAGTTTATAATCGAATGGCTTTGTAGTTCAGCTATGGTAAAATTACTTGTATTTATCAATTCAATTGGCGATCTGCTTGTGTTCAAACTATTTTATTCAAATTTCCTCTTTATGTGTCCTCTGAATATGAGGAGGCTTGTAAAACTTTATGGTGCTCATTATACACGGAGAGCCTATTCACCGCAACAGCCATCCGTTGCCTTTTATACCTTTAAACAGATGAAATTAGGTTCTTCAAACAAAAAATGTTTTTCTTGAAAGCAGACGTCGATTGGTGACCAGATTTAAATTTTTGGCAGTGATATTACATTCCATAAACAGTGCTTATGTAGGGATGTCAAAAGTTGGGCGTCATTTGAACCGCTTCATTTATTGCTTGACAAAAGATCTGGCATGAAAATCCATCTAGAAATACTTCTTGCATCAGAGTAGAAGAAGTTGAAGAGTGATTGGGCAAAGTTTCTTTGAGCTTTCATTTTTTCGAGCTGTGTCGAATGGAGCCCGTAGATCAGCTCAGCAACCAGCCACCATTTCAGGGAGCTCTGGGGCTGTAAATCTTCTTATGCTCAAGTTTATGAACATTATGCTCACTAGAAATACAAGTGAATACGGCTAAAAATAATGCAAACTTCAAGATGTTGCAACGGATAGCCATTAGAAGTTTAGCAGAGCCCTCGTAATGGTTGTTATTATATTCTAGATTGCTTAACAGACTTGCAGAGGCTGCACAACCGTTGAGAAGCTCGATGCAGCGTTGTGCGATGGTCGCCTCAGAAATTCCATGCCGATCCCTTTTAGTTGCCAGAGAGCAGAAACGTTGCCAAAGGCCGCAATTCTGTTTCAACACACGACAATAAATCAATGTCACATTAGATTTAAATAATTCCATGCATACTTTTAAAAAATCAATTTCAACAGCACGACATATTATAAATTAAATTATATAATGGTCAAATTGCAAGAACTAGAACAAGTTCTTCAGTTTAAGAAGACAGTTAACAAAAAAAAATGGAAGAGATAAAATATGAAGGTGTGATTTTAAATCAGCAAGTAAACGTAAATACAAAACCTTGAATAACTACACGTCGATGTTTCCACCTTGGCAGGCGCATTTATGTCAAATGGCAAATGTTATAAAGTAAAATAAATATATTGTAGCAACTAAATGGTGATAACAAATAATTGCTTGGAGAATTTTTTCGAGTCTGTAATGACATTTTATTTAAGAATCGATCAAGAAATAGATTTGAATGCTTAACAGTGACTGGCTCGGAGTGAATTTGGGCAAGTTTTAGTCGGAAGCCATGCTGTGTCATGCCGAGTTGGACTTCTTAGATCACGTTGCTCTTACTTGAGGAAGCAGCTCATTAAATAGAAAATAAACATAGATAGATAGCCATGAGCCAGCAATGGAGGTTGCTGTAGTATAGTCAACGCAGCTATGAATGTTGCTGTTGTATATTTTCCTTCGGTATGCTTTCAACTCTGAAGTTTGTTGGAAGCATAGCAGGAAATTAGATATACGAGGAATTGTTTCACAGTATAGTAAAACCGGATTCTGGATATAAATAAAACTTACATGACAATCATGACCCATTGAAAAATTTATGCACTTGCTCATGAAAGTTATTTTTTCACATAAGTTGAAGAGCCCTGTGAACTTAGAAGTTAGAGGTTTTTAGAAACCCTTTTAGCATTCGCGTTCACACATATAAACTCAGAAATTGGGAGATAGTGTCAATTCAACCTTAATTGTTTATTTTTAATTGAATAGAATTAATAACTACTTTGACGCTTAAAGTTGAAACATATTTCATCGGACAATAGAGACGCTATGGAAGTACCTTTTTTGTATTTACACTTTATTAAGAAGATCGTTGCTGAGAACCTCGTACATGAGTTCGTAGTGACTATTTAATCAGGTACGTGAGCACATATCACATATGTATAATGTAGGCACATATTTTACTCCAGGAAACTTCTAAATTCTAATTTTGAAGGCGAGACTATTTCATCAAAAGGGTGCCTACAATTTTATGAATTATCTTTTATGACATTGAGAAACTAACATAGGCTTAAGAACAAGGGTGCAATGATGGGCAGAACAAATTGCTGCGGCTGGATTTTTTTCACCATTGTTTCAGAATTCCGTGCTGGATCAGCTGGAACCATATCTTTGACTAGGTTCTCAAGACGGATATATCAGATTGTTCCGGCGTTCGTCGTAACAAACTTTTTCGCAATGTCAGAGCACATAATTGAATGAGTCGTTCTGGAGGGCGCAATTACAGTAAAATTACAATTCATCTTATCTTTAGTAGCTCACTGCCGTAGAGACTTTTCGTACTAAATCTAGTACTTATTTAGATCGTCTTTTTTGAGATCCAATTCAAGAGCCAAGGTGTATAAAAATGATATCTCATCTCTCTCCCTCCACATATTGTTCTGATACCTGTTAAAATAAGAAGTATTGTTGTATCCTAATGCAGACAACGAAATTTGAAAACTAACTACAGAGAAATTGAGTTCATGGGGATCTCGTACATCGCAATGTACTAGGCGGAGTCAAAGAGCTCAGATTCGCTTGGACTTTGGAGCTGCTAGCATGGTGACTGATATGTGGTTTGAGTGAAAAGGACGTTTTCAGTGTGACAAAATTTTGATTTAGGTCCAGTAATGTTTTGAAAATTATATTCTAAATAATTTCTTCAATTTTTTTCGATTAATTCATATAAGTAGTCGATGAATAGGGAAGTGATGCCAATGTTTTCGCTACGGTAGTATGAGCAGAGTTGCTAGTTCTCTCCATACTGTGATATTTCCTGTGTTTGAAGTGCTAAATATTCCGTAATTTGATAAAAGCGAATAAAGAACTTATGAATCTATTTTTATTTTGATCTTTTACAAGTGAAAAAGTCCTTTAAATTGTCTAATATTGAACTGGTCATGATTTTGAGCTTAATACTGACCACCGAAGATTCTGCTAGTAAGGTCGAAAATCCCTTGTGCTGCTTCGCAATCTGACTCCTTTTAATTATCTGCGTGAAACTTGTGAGTGACTGTTATGATTTAGCAATTAGCACTTTATGTGTATAAATTAATATAGCTTGTAGATTCGATGAAATAATCGTTTGCAAGGGCAATTTACATAGCTTTTCATTTAAATTTTAGGTTTCTTTTATGTGCTACTCCTTTGTTGCTCTCCCTCCCCAGTTCCCGCCTCTCTCTCTCTCTCCCTCTTTTCCTCCCTTCCCTTTTCACTGCGCCCTCTCTCCCCCGACCCCGTACACACCCCTCATTGTCCTCTGGGTGGATAAGCGTTGTAGCTATCATGTCATCTGTCACAGTCTCGCACTTGCATTGCTTCCCGCAAAGCTTAAAATAATGTTAATGTATTTTAATTTATTGACGTTTCCCCATTTATAGGTAAATAACTTATATTGATCAATGTGCATTGTGGGTACCAATCGTAGGAGGTAGGATAGTTAGTTATTTTAAACGATTATTGTTGGTGTTTTTATTTAGTGTGAAAAAAGGCATTGTGGAGTTTTTTCAAGTTTTCTACTTACTGTTACATTCACAGACTGTTTTGTAAACGATTAAGTCTATACAGACTGAATTTTGGAACTGACTGATACTACATCGATTGACACGCGTGCAACTGTGCACGAAACTACATAGGTACATCGCGTTCTTATGCTAGGATGAAAACTTCGTTTAGTTCAGGCAAACCAATTGTCTACCCTCTCGTTCAACTTTTAAGTCGTCACTTTGACGACTCGATCTTAAGATAGTGCATGTCGTTTCATATCTGCTATTTTATTTAATTTTTTTATGTATACCTTTTTTTATTTGAATGGTATTGATTGAACTTCACTAAAAGCCCAAAAATGTTTGCTAAACCTAAGTCTATTCCTACCGAATCCCACGTAATGAAAAAGAATTGACGAGTATACTGCCAACGTGGACACTTTTTGGCTTGCAAATATTTTACTTTAATGCCAAAAATATTCGTTTTTGGATGATAATCATTAAATTAAATGTGTTAATTTAAAACTTCCTTAGAAGATAACTAGAGTGCGCACACACTGATACTGTCATTGCGTGCGTGATTATAGCTGTTACAAGTAAATTCCGCTGTCTAAAAAAACGATTAATACTAAAAAACATGCCCCGACTGGTTTCTAGTTCCAGTTTCGACTAATTCAGATGATCATCCTCATGGAATACATACATGTACTCTTTAGCATATATAGGACTGCTATTTTCTCGCCGCCTCAGAATAAGCGTTCTATTTCTCTGAATGCTAGAAAGGCTGACAGCATACAATAACTAAACCTTTATTCTATGAAAAATGTGGACTGCTACACTAATGTCCCAAACTTGAAGTTTCCGTCATTGTGGCAATATCATGAGCATCTAATCTATCCCTTGAAATATATTCTACCATCGACTGAAAATATGTATCTTGTATCGGTTGGGAATTGGGATGAGCACCTAAGCTAGAAACTTTCTAGACACAGCATCCGCCTCAAGTATGTCCACGCGATGGTCAAAATATTTTAGTTTTTTTTTAGTTTTATTTCGATAAACGGCTGGGACGTTTTGTGACTGCTTTTTTGTTTCGCACCACGAGAGCTAGATCGTTACGTTTGCTGTACGAGCAAGTGTGTCCAGCCGAAAATGACTACGTTCCAAATTGATGTATAATATTCATTGTTCAAATCGCATCTTAACGGGTAATTTTGTTGTTTTCATGGCAAGAAATGCGTGCATCAGTGTTCGAAACAAATTTTGGCATGTGGAATAATTATTGGCTTCTCATGAATGCCTCAGTTAAGTAGTTACCTTGCGCTTGGTTGAAGCAAGCGTGCAATCAAAGTATTTTAGTCGCTACGATGAATAACTTTAGATCTCGGCTGGGTTCTTCGTACTCGTTAGAACGTAAATTCTCGCTTGGAATGTAATAATGATGAATTGTCTGGCGTGAGTAAGACAGTGCTCTAATTTATCAGTGTGACTACAGAGGATCATTCTATAGTAATCACGCCAACGTCACGCTCGCCGCAAATTGCGGGAATCCCGGGCTACCCTAACTGACTTTTTTGAATGAGCAGAAAAGTCTTGAATATTTTCATGTTGTGTTGCTTGGGAACTGAAATGTAAGTCGATAGTCATTCAACAGCACTAAATTTTGAGGTAAATTTAGTGTTTGGTTAGGTGAAGTATGCACTTCTGGGTGCAATGTGATGTATTTGTGCAAACGGTTTCATTAACTCACCCTGAGTAAAATTCAGGCTGAGCAAGCCTTCGTCTGGACAGGCATTGTATACAAGCTGATTTTAATTGAAATTCACTACGCTATTTTAATTTACAATTTAAATCAAACGTAAGTATGCATTGAATACTTAGTACTATTGTAACTGTACTGAATGCTCAGTACTGTTTGAACTGCACTGAATGTTCAGTACTGTTTGAACTGCACTGAATGTTCAGTACTGTTTGAACTGCACTGAATGTTCAGTACTGTTTGAACTGCACTGATTGCTCAGTACTGTTTGAATAGCATTGAATGTTCAGTACTGTTTGAACTGCTGAATGTTCAGTACTGTTTGAACTGCACTGAATGTTCAGTACTGTTTGAACTGTATTGAATGCTAAAGTTCTGTTTGAACTGCACTAAATGCTCAGTACTGTTTGAGCTGTATTAAATGCTCAGTAATGGTCGAATTGCATTGAATGCTCAGTACTACTATTGCAACTGCATTTAATGCTCAGCACTGGAAGAACTGCATTGAATGCTCAGTAATGGTTCAACAGTGCTGAAAACTCAATCGTGTTTGAGAAGTATTGAATGTTGTTTTGGAACTGTCCCAATAAGGCTGCGTCCCAAACAGTTTCGAGAAGCCTGATTACATAGTAATTTCAAAAAGCCTGTCTGTTCAACTAAGGTCCTGCAGGCACGATATTATTACTAACCAAGTTGTAACATGACTTGATATGATTGGGGCCTTATTTGATTATCGATCCTTTTGGACCTGATTTGAAAATGCAGGATTTGCGAAACTTCTTGATGGTTGAAATATTTAATGGTTCAATTAAGTTGAAAGTGTGTTGAATGCTCAGTTCTCATTGAACTCTTCAGAATTCTCAGCCCTGTTGGAACTGTGATGAATGCCCATTCCTGTTGGAACTCTGATAAATGCCCAGTACTGTTGGATTTGTGATGAAAGCCCATTACATTGTAACTGTGCTGAATGTCCAATATTGTCGGATTTGTGATGAATGCCCAGTCGCGAATGCCCATTCGATTGTTTGAAGCTGAATACTGAATGTCCAAGTAGGCAAGTACTGTTGCAACTGTGATCAATACCCATTACCGTTGGAACTGCGATTAATGCCTGAGCCCTTTCAAACTGTGATGAATGCCTAGTCCTTTTGGAACTTTGAAAATGTTCAGTCCTGTTTGAACTGGAATAAACGCTCAGTTCTGTTGAAACCGCGTTGAAGCTGCGTGATGTCTTGGTCTATAACAGAATTCTGATGAATGTCACTCTAAGTGACGGCGAAACCAGTGGAAATGGTGTCAAGCTTCAAGAAATCTAAATCGGCGCACACAATCGACGTTTCTCCTACGTGCTGACTCCTGACGTTCGAAAGTTTTTGAATATTGAAAGTTTTACACTTCAATTGTTGAGTTTTCGCATTACGTCCTTTCCCAGATTTTGCTTTTCAGTCTATTTAAGTGGCTCCTCAGTGAGCTGCTGTTTTGCGCCCCCTCTTTTCTACCCCTCATTTACTGGCTACGTGTTCCGCCTCTTCTCCTCTCTCTCCCTTCTCCCCCAGTTTCCCCACACCCTCTCTGTCTCCCCTCGCATCCTCTCATCAATAGGATGAGTGTTGCCTTTACTTGTACGATTCGGCTCTTTGTTATTGCGCCTGTGCGAGCAATTTCCGGTGGCGAAGTGCGTGCTGCACTCCACTTGCAATAACAGACATAATTGTGCAGCATCACAATTATGTTACATTTTATACATTATCAAAACACTTTATCGTGCTGATCGCTGTTCACGTTTTTGCATGGAAGTTAAAACTTATGTTGTTGGCCGAGACCTTACCACCTGATATAAAGCGATTATTTTAGTAGTCCAAATATTTCTAGCATTTAGCAATTTCTAAATAAGACTTGCTTATAAATAGGCATATACAAAAACTAGGCTTTGTGGCTTTGTGTTAAATATATGTTTATAATTTGGCGGTAATGTTTGATCAAAGAATTGTGATGAGGATATTTCGAGTTACGACGTTCAATAAGTTTCTGGATATTGAAATTAAGTTGCTGGATTTTTGTTCGTACCTGTGACCCAAATTGCCTCAGGATTTTTCTCTGGATTCGTGGTGTTATGGACTGTTAATATGAATGTCGGGATAACTGGACTTGAGGTCAACTCCTGCTCGCATATTCTGACGAGTTGTGGCTAGGAATGTGCGTCTGAAGCGATCGCTCAATGCTTCTCATCTTTTCGGAATCATGCTAATTTATGTATGGGGTAGTTCGGATTCTATTTTACACTTGGACGACGATAAATAAACGTGCTGTTCATAATGATCAGATTACGATTTATTCGCAAACTTACTATTTATTTTATGTAGTTCCCCAAGCGTAATATTCGAATTTAGGTGATCAGAACAAAGCAGAAGTTCGAGTAAAGATGTGTGCGTGTCGAACGATGAACAGAACTACTTTTGGACAGACTGTTCCTAATATTCATTGAGCTCGTATTATCGAGCTATGGCGTGCTTCACAAAAATAACGAACTTTTGCACTCATCTCATCTCATTTTGCAATCTCTTCCATTGACGTGTATATTTCACCTATGTAATTAGTCGTACTTCTTTAACTCTACCGTGGTATACTCCGTGAGTTGGACGCGGGAAGTGGTGCGATGATGAGAGTGCAGTCACGAGCTCTACATGCTGCTGCTGCTACCTACATTCACTTGTGCTGTGTTGACGTGACTAGTGTTGGTCGTGCATGTGCGTTGTGTATG